CAATGTAATCTTGGTCTTTTGCCCCACTGCGTTTAACATATATACATGAATGCTGTAAATAGTATTGTAATCAAGTTATAAGACAGCGTGGTTTGTGTATGTATGCCCACCTCAATTGAAAAAAAAACAAAACAAAACAAAACAAAAAGAATAAAAAGAACAAAAAAACAAAACAAAACAACAAAGTTTAACAGCTACCTCCTTAACTCCCATGATCTAATTGTTAATTCTCTGCTCTAGTTGCTACACATTTCCTTGTAAATTAGTTATGAGTATTTGGTATTGGATCAAGATAACAGCATCTACCTGATAAGTCTGAGTATTCTCATTACCTGTTTGCTGGATGATGTAATGGTATCACAGGGAGAAGTTACATGTTAATCACTTCAGAGATTCAAACAGTTACCTGAGCAAAGTAGAAGCCATATAAAGGGAAATATTTCAACCCGTTCTTCAGAATGTAGCGAAGTCGTCCCAAAGAACCTTGCCTGACAGCAAGGAAATCAGTGATTATCCAGTCCACTGCATAAAAACAATGTTTTACAAACATTAAAAAGATAAATTACATAAATATAACATCCAAAATTATCAGAGTTTTCTTTTAAATGGTGAAAATGCAAATTCTCTTCAAAGATTTAGAATAACTACCTCAATCAAGTGGGAAGCCAATGATATTAGAAAATATTCAATAGGCTGTAATTTTTTTGAAAGAAAGTACTTGAATCCGTTAAACTCTAAGAGTGAAACACATGTCTAATTTCTCCCAGTGGTATAACTTCTTACTCAAACTTCAAGGTTGTGAGAATAAAGGAAATGATTGTAAACTCAAGATGCCCTTGATTGTTAGACAAATTCTCCGTGTAAGAACCATAGTAAATGTATAGAGAACAGTAAAGAGAACTTGCATATTGATGTTAAGGTATAAAGGGTAACACCATGATCAGGTGAGGCAATGGAAATGCAAGTTTTATGGGCTAGGTCATATATTTTTGTTTTGTTTTGTTTTGCCTTCAGATAGACAATTTTCTATTGCAAGGATTGGATAACTTTAAGTCAAATTGCATTTGGTCACCAAGAACACTCTAATCTTAGGAACCAGAACTTGCTTATTTGGAGATTTGGGACTTTGGTTAAAAACATGACAACCACATGAAAGGATTTAGTAAATAAATATAGAGAAAAAAGAGTGTAAGACCTGATCCTGGGGTTTATGTGTAGAGTTGTCTCTTTAAACAATTGGTACCTGAACTTTGATGGTTACATATCACAATCACATTTTCCTGTTTATTCCATGGAATTTGATCACCATAAAGGATAACCTGCAAATTAAGTATAATGGCAGGCAATATTATTAATGATGGAGGTTGGAAAATATTGAATGTAGAAGATAAGTGCATAATTCAGCTTACCAGAAAAAGGAGATGTAGATCACAACATATCTAGATAATTTCAGCCCAACTACCCATAGATTGCAAAAAGTGGCTATGCATCAATTCAATTTGACCTTAAAAAACCACACAGGATATTTACCAAGGTACATGAGTAAATGCAAAATGTGTCAAAACTTGAGGTGGAAAAAAGGAGATTTCATTTGACATTGTCTTGCACAGATGTTTTCTTTTGGAAATTATATAAAGGCAAAGATAAAGTTAAAAAAACATAGTAGATGGAAATAAAGAGGACTGGAATCATCCTGGAAATTCAAGATTATTGAAATGTTGGCAAATTCTTATCAGCAGTTAAACACAAAGAAACAACGACAATAATGTTACATGTTCCAATCAAACATGTCCCAAACTCTTCTCTACAACTTGTTTACATCATTCTGCAAGTTTCCCCACTCATGTTCATCCCTCTCCAATGCATCCATCTTAATAGTAAAAGTATTCATACAACAATGAAAAGTTTCCAAAGTGAGAATTCAGGCTTCATGCAGTTCCTACACCTGACATGCCCTTACCCACCCCTCTGCCTCTTTATTAGACCTGCGTAAAAGAGTCTCATGTTCAATTTAAAATGAAGCCACTTGGGAGAGGGAAGAAAAAGAGGGCAGGGCAGGGCAGGGCAAGTTCTGAGTAGCCATGGGATTCATCAGGAATCACCCCATTCATACTCTTGAAAGACATGTGAGTGTTTCAGCTAACTTGCTGTCCCTCATTTCGGGAATCAGCCACATTCCCCATTCCTTCCAAAGGTTTGCTATAGCTATAGAAAGTATTCCTACAATTATGAAAAGATGGAAACTGTACAATGGTGGACATGTATGCACTCTTTCTCCTCCACAACCTCAACACCCTCGTGAACCCTTCAAGCATTTCATACCACTGAAGGAGTCACTCATGTTCACGGCAGAATGAAAAAACTACAGAGGGATAGAGAAAAGGATTCAAGCAGCGATAGAAATAATCAGGAATTACATGTTTTCACACTCTCGGAATACACCTTACGGTGCACCAACCCACGTGGTGTCGAGACTCCGCGTTCACTTGAAATATCTCCGAACAAAATTCATAATATTGCCTCACCTCAGCTCCCGTTAAGGTCTCAAAGAAGAAGCAGATGAGCGATTGATACGAGTCGTACATAATCTCATCTCCTCGTTCGAAGACGCGCCTAGACAGAGGCAGTGAAGCGAGTCGCCATGCAAGCCAAGTTATTAAGTAATACGGTGCAACACCAAAAACAACAACAGCTGGGCCGACAAAGCGCAGCAGCTGGATGTGACCCAGCGCAGTCAACATTTTCTTTAGAAAAACTTGATGAATCCACAGCTTTAACGAATCAATGACAGAAACTAGAAGGATTTACAACGCGCATATCGCGATGGCCGCTATTCATTGAGAGTACCAGGTTACTAAGCTGAATGGGAGTGGGCGGGGGTGTTAAACAAGACCTATGATACAGCTGACCATCTTCGTTGACAATTTATTTCTCTACCACTTCCACCTCTAAGAAGACAACAGCATGCTCCCTATTCACTCTATCTGCTCTTAGCAAAGACCTTAAACTCAGTTAAACCAAACAAATGAGAGGTTTAGGGCAAAAAGCCCGGATGCACAAGGCTGACAAAATTTGTTTTCTCGAAAATCTGCACATTTCCCTTCGCTAAATTGATAATTTGTCAAACGTGGGCGCACTGAAAAACAGCTAAATATTTGTTGACCACAAAGTGTCAATCACATGGATTTACAAATTAAACAGTACTTGGATCTAGAGATACGGCTGGAACTAATTCAGTACCCTGAGTACTGATTGTCATGCAACATCCCGAAGTACGAATTTTCCATCTTTACCATTTGATTGTTGCTTAAAATGTAAACATTTATGCAAGCTTCTGCCTAAAAGATTCGCAGTTCAAATTTCCTTGATTGACGTTCTCCTTCAAATCTTTGCATGTGAATTAAAACATCTGTCAGATCTCACGCATCACTAAAATTTGTCCTGCTGCGAGCCAAGACAACGGTGTCTGAAAGGTTAAAAAAAATCCACTCGTGTCACTTTATTGCATAAATTGTCTGGTCGGTGAGTTCCTTTCTGTCACTGGGAAGGAGTTGACCCATACGATACTCAATTTCACGCTTTAAGACGTACTTTCAGATAGAGAACGGGATACATGCAAGTAAAAACAGATATGCTGACACAAGACAAGTGAAAAACACTGTTTATTTCGCTATGATTCTAAGAGTACGGATTTTCTAACAGGAGTGGCTCTCGGATATTCCATATACAGTAAAAAAAATCGTGTAAAAGCTTAAGCTTTCGTTTCAATTCCTTTTGTTGAAGTCGAAATCTGCTTTTTGCCAGTATTCTAGTTGCCTCAGGAAAGACTCTAGTTCACATCAAAGTACTGTTACAACCCATTTTGGTAAGTTTCTCAACTAAGGGTCTGTTCTCTGGGGATGTCTGCTGACATTCATTTCAAAACAAGGAAAAAAACAGGGGAAGCTAGTAAATTATCAATGTTGCGATATTCCCAAAGTAAAACTCAGACTTAATCCTAGTAAACATCGCAAAATTCGAGGTAACTACCAACTGTTTAAAAGTAAATTCACTAACAGAGAGCCGAACAAGTAAAGCTTCGTTCGGAATTCCAAATTGTCCAATCAGAGAACAGCACAAGGTTCTCCGTAAAAGGTGGGGTCAGCTCAGTCAAATTTCCCGGCAACTTTGTCTACGAAAGTAACGAATCCACACGTAGAATAAAAAACTATCTGAGAGAGAAACAGTCAACGGCAAAAAAACTGCCTTAATTACAACTGTGCATACTCTATGTGCCACCTGTCTATTGGTTAACATAAGCTGCATGTTCAACCCCTTTGAACGAAACCACCGCTTATCGCCTTTGCTTAACGTCAGAGGAACTACTGCTGTTGGACCCAGACTCCTCGTCACTGCTGCTCGATCCACTACTACTGCCTTCACTACTTTCACTGTCACTACTCTGGCTTTCTGAGCTACTTTCGCTTCCACTTTCGCTACTGCTTTTCTTTCGGGATCGGCTTTCTGCGTTTTTCGTTTTACTTGGCTTCGCCACTTCAATCTTCTGGTTTTTCTCTTGAGCCACTCTAAAATGCCAAGAAAAACAGTTTCAATAAAGACGACCTCGTTCAAGGAGAAGCTAATTTCAATGTAATTCGCAGCCGTTGTTTCGTCTTGTCACGGAAACAAGAGAGAAGAACCGTCGCGTGACAAGACCAAACAGCAACGTTTGCAAATTTCTAGCCGTCACTACTAGTCCTTTCAAACATCAAAAGTAAGATGCAAACATAAACAAAAAAGTCCACCCCCCCAACGTCACGATTTTGCGACATAGACCCAACGTCCCCGCGTAGGTGCGTAATTTTTCCGAACCTCCATTTAAGCACCCAATCAGTAGAGCTAATTTTGTGTTGTATGACGTCGTTAATGAAGACAATAAGTCTTTCACATTTGAAAAAGCCGAAATATACGTGTTTCCACTTTTCGTTCTGGATGGCAGCGAGGAAAACAGTTGCTTCTTCCAAAGCGCCAGTTCCTTTAACCTGGCGCAATTGTCGAGTTGATCAAACAGGTATAACTGACGGCTTGAACTTAACGTAAATTTAAGCAAACTATCGTGTTAAAGGTATTTCATCAGTCATAATTTTTAATACATCACTTGTACCTTTTACGCGGAGGTTCCTGGCTACTCCTCTCCGCCGATTCACGTGTATCTCGACCTCTTGCCTGAACAGGAGATGACTCGTGTACCGTCACTTTGTCCTTTCTACGAACAGGCGACGCACTAGGAGTTCGGCTGCGCCTTTGAACAGGACTATCTCGAGCAGGAGATTTTTTTGGCGCCGGTCGATTTCTTGGCGGGGTTACACTTCTGGACTGTCTGCGCTTCCGCGTTTGCTTGGGCGGAGAGCGCCTTGGACCACGACTTGGGCTTCTTGAAGGGCTTCTACTTTGACGCCGATAAGAGCCTCCAGCAGGAGCCGGGCTTCTTGACCTGCGCCTTCTGATAGGGCTTGGGCTTCTTTTGGGTTTTGGTGGGCTCAGGCTTCTAGAAGGTCGACGCCTGCGGAACTGGGTAGGTGGGGAACGCCGAGGACTGCGACTGTCGCTTCTTCTTCGGCGCTGATTGGAGCCTCGTGCAGGTTGACTTCGAGGAGGTGACGAATTGGGCTTTCTGGTGGGTCTTGGGGGAGTTACACTTCTAGAAGGACGCCGCCGCCGAGGTTGTAAAGCAGGGGAAGGCGAATGCCTTGGGCTTTGACTACGCCTCCTCGCAGATTTGGGGCTCACTGATCGATCTCTTCTCGATCTTTCTTCCGATCTACTTCTACTTCGGTTTCGTCTCATAGGCTTAGAACGAAGAGGACTTGGAGACAGCCTTCTCCTTACAGGGGGCGGGCTCGGGGACGACCTTCTACGTACGGGGGGTGGGCTTCGAGATACCCTACGTGCTGGGGGTGGACTCGCTGGGGACCTTCGACGTGCAGGCGGTGGGCTTGGGGTTCTACTAGGTTTTCGTCGTCTTGGAGGTGCAGCTTTATCTGAAGACCGCCTGGATTGTTTCACAGGTGAAGGACTGGGACTAGCACGGCGAGGTGACGGAGAAGGCCTCTTCTTTTGAGTTCTTTGTTCACTTGTATCAGGCGATGACTTGTGCTTGGTCAGCACAGGTGACACACGGCTGCTATGCGAGGATCCGTCCTCGGACTCTGACGCAGATTCGGACGAACTACTAGAAGAACTCTCTTCTGAACTGGACCGTTTCTCTTGGGCCTTACTCTTTGTCGTTCGTTTCACTTTCTTTTGGCTATCACTTGGAACTTCTTTCTTCTTGCTAGCAGCCACTTTTGGTGGAGGAGGAGGAGGAGACTCGCTGGGTAACCTTCCTCTTTGCCTCCTTGCATCAGGAGATGGCGATGCAGACTGTCTGGTCCTCCGTCGGGTCTCTTTCGGAGGACTCTCAGAGCGCTCTTGGTTACGGCTTCTTCGTATACCTTCTACGCGCTGCCTATCGTCAGGAGAAGGCGACTGTTTTTTTCGATTCCTTCTATCTTCTCTTGATGAACTACGTCGCCGGTTTCTGTCCTCGGGAGTAATATCACGTCGCATTCGGCCACTCGCCTTGCTGTCGCCATTTCTGGAGTTAAAGTTTTCCCTCTGTTGTGGTCGACGGTTTTCTTCTCTCTCACGAGAATCTTCCTTCCTGGTTGTGATTCTTGACTGCTCAGGGATAGGACTCGACTTTCGACGCCTTGTTTCAGGCCTTTCTTCATCAGGTTCACGTCGTCCTTCCGAGCGTTCTTCAGAAGAGCTTCGTGCTTCCCGCTGCTTTCTCTTCTTTCTTACCTCAGATGATTTTTCTGCAGAGCTCGACCGATCAACACGACGCTGCTGCCTTTCACGAACACCATTCTCAGACAATGGCCGATCTTTCTCTGGAGATTGTCGATCTCCATTTCCACTACGACGTAGCCTTACACGCTCCCCGCGCACGCGATCATCGGGTGAGTGATCCCGTTCTGCACGTGATCGATCGTAACGCGCACGATCGTCACGTTCCTCGCGGTCACGTTCTTGTCTCACACGTTCTTCATTTTGTCGATTTTCATGTTCATCTCGCATTTTCCTTTCTCTTCTCGTATCAGACTTGTCAAGATGTTGCTGTCGACGAGATTTAACTTTTTCAGGGGAGGAATTATCTGGAGACGGGGATCTATTGCGTTGGAGTCTTGGGACATTTTCTTTGTCCGTTGATGGACTACGATGGTCATTTCTTTTTGTTTTATCCTTTCTCTGTTGCTTCCTCTTGTCACGCCTTGGAGGGCTTTCACTCTCTGAACTACTGTTAAGTGGCAAAAAACAATGTAAATATATTATATATTTCTTAAAGCGGTGAGGCCCAGGCAAGAGTAGGGAATACTGAACAGAATTTAAATAATGCAAATCCAGTGCATTCGACAAAACCACGCCCGTGTCAACGTAGGTTGCAGAAACCAAACTAAAATTGACTGTCAAAACTAACTGAATTTTGCATGCGTAAGAACCACCACCTTAAAAGAGATCTAGAGTCCTTTTACTTTAGTTCACCGTTCGCAGTTATCATCCAGGGCTGCTCAACCATAAATGGCAGAGTAACACGGCACAGATTAACTCTTTAACCCTAAGAGTGACAAACATCTAATTTCTCCCAACAGTGTTTCCACTGAAGCAAGCAGTAAGTTCATGAGAATAACGGAAATGATTTCGAACTCAAGAAGCTCTTGAATGTTAGACAAATTCTCCTTACAAATACCATAGAAAATGTACAGAGAACAGTATGGAGAACTTGCATACTGATGTTTTAACACCATGTTA